TGGGTGATTTGGTGATGGGAAACCCAAGGGGATTGCAACTGAGATGGAAAAATGCACAAAAATATGTAAAAATAAGCTTATAATTTTTTTAAATGAACAAAAAATACATCTGTGCACTCTAAAGGTATATATACATACTTACAAATATATGTATATATGTATATATACATATATACATATATATATAGTTAAAAAAAAAAGGTCTGGAGATCAGGCTGATAAAAATTGTGAAAGTATTTAATGCCACTGAGCTGCACAACTAAAAGAGGTTACAGTGATAAATTTTGTTATGTGTATTTTCTCACAATTTTTTAAAGAATAAAAAGTTTGATTGCTAGTAAAGTTTTATATGACTATTCCCATCTAATTAATATGCATTCTATTCCCTTCCTTTCTAAATCTTACCCAATCTTTAAATCCTAGTTTTAACAACTCCTCCATTTCTTTCAATCTCAAAATAATGTCACTTTTTGTCCATATTCCAAGAACTGCTACTGTCAGCAAGAGTTCATTTGGCAATTAATAATGTTCTGCTTGGTGTAGTTCCCTACCATTACCATGAATAATTTCTTAAATATTTATATTTACAGTATAGTTATCTTGTCTTCTGCACTAGTTTGAATCCTAACTGAGGGAAGTGGCAATATCCTATTCAGTCAAGAGGACAAGAGTCTACAATTATGCCTAGGTTTGATTAATGAAGTATTTTAAAATATTACATTTTTATTTCATTGCACTGCTTCTTTCCCTTAAGGTCCCAAGCTTCCTTCTCTGCAGTCATCCAGATAGATTGGGTTCAGACAGCTGTTCTCACTCACAGCCTACGGTTATTGGGTGGGCATTAGGCTGTACCATCAACCCACTGGGACATCAGTCAGTAAGAAACTATTAGGAAGCTTCCCACTTCACAGTAGATCACAGAATGTGGGCAAGGGGTGAGATCTTTGGCCCTGACTCATAACCATGCCCAGTTACCTGTCAGTCAGTCTCAGAATGACATCACTCATCTCCTAGTCCTTGTCAGCCTGAGGGATTTAGAGAATCCTTCATTTTCCTCTGGGTTCTTCAAAAGTTGCCTTTATTTACATGATGTTCACCAGTCAGTCTTTTAACAGAATACTATGAAAAGTCAGGTGAGACAAAGCCTGTGATACCCAGAGAACTAGATCCCACTCCAAAACCACAGCTGTTTCCCCCTTGCCCATCCCCTTGAGATGCATTTTTAATTTAAAAAAAAAAAAAAAAAAAAATTAAAAACTGTCAAAAAAAAAAAAAAAAAGCTAGACCAGAATGGTTCTCCTGAAAGCCTCAATGGCCCTACTGCCGGGCTTTCTTGACCACTCCCCACCATTACCACCCTTAGGCAGATAAAGGAAAAGGAGAAAGGAGGCAAAATGTGGCTAGTGCTTCGTTGAAGATGATGACCAAAAGGAGAAGTCCAGGCTGGATGAGCTGGACAACAACACATAGGATTCTTGGGAGGATTCAGTAGAGAGGTTCTTGGTGACCTGTGTTTCAGAAGGGAAGACCTCTGGGGAGGAAACTGATGGTTCATTTGTACTCAAGGCGGGCAATGCATTTTGGTGGGTGGGCTCCCTTGGGGGTGACCGCATCTGTTCAAAGACTTCCTTGGCAGGCATTGCCTGTCTAACATCATCCTTGGCAAACACCCGTTCTTTCATATTTTTCTTGACAGGCTCTGGCTCTACTCTGGTTTTCTTCTTGGGAACTACTGAAAAATGGCGCGTGCCTGGATAATTCTTTATGTCCTGGGTTAAAGCTGGATAGAGAGCTGCTACAGCCCAAGGGTTTTCCTTAACTCGGGGGAAAGGTGAAGTTTCTTGATAGTCACTTTTCCCCTTTTGGAGACTTATACTCTGAGTATCTGTGGGGTAGAAAAGACAAAAACATATTCCTAAAATGTTACTTCTCTCTAGCCTCTGCTGTTCATATGACAACTCTTACTTATCTTTAACATGTTAGTCCCTCCCTACCATCTCACTTTCTATCATCCCACCTTTCTCCCTCTCCCAAATTTGTACAGACTCTATTATGATCCTCCCATTAAGCATGGTGCTAGAATTTTACAGTCAATTGTATAAGGTTCTAGCTCTGGAAGCCCTATGGGGTGGAAACTGAATATATCCTCCATTTGAATGGGAGCTTTCCAAGGCCCAGACTTTGTCTTGCTTGCCACTGTACACAGTGCTCAGAAGTGTCACTGCCCTGAATCTCCGGCCTGTACCCCAGTTCTGTATGCCTAAATAAATCTTTTAAAATAAATAATAAAAATTATATTAGCTGTAGGTTTTTTGTAATCATCTTTTGTCAGGTTGAGGAAGTTTGTTTTTATTCCTAGTCTGTCCAGTGTTTTTTTCTTTTTATCATAAATGGATATTGACATCTAATATAATTTTGCTACTTTATTTTGCTAAGTGGGTGGATTATATTAATTTTTAAATTGCATATCCATCTTACACAATTGGAATAAAACTCACTTGTCCATGATGCGATACTTTTTATATATCGATGGATTGGATTTTCTAACATTTTGTTTAAAAAAAAAAATTTTTTTTAATGGGTACAGGCCAGAGGTACAGGGGGTAAGAGGATTCACCAGAGACAGAATAGGGAGCTAGACAGGTAGGTCAACTGAAATACACTGCTGAGGGGAGCACGGGTGAGACAGGAGAGGCCTGCTGCACCTGTGGGTCACCTCCCTGGCCAGAATCAAATGCATGCTGCAGTGACTGGGGATCACTTCATAGTGGTATGCTCTAACCCCTTGTGCCACCAGGGAGGCCCCATTGTTAAAGATTTTTTATATCTAAGTTCAAGAGAGTGATATTTATCTGCACTTTTAATTCTTGCAACATCTTTGCCAGGTTTTATATTAAGGTATCGCCAGCTGCAAATAGTCACTGGGAAGTGTTTCTTTCACTTTTTTTTTTTATTTGGTAGATTAGTATTATTTCTTAAGTATTTGATTAGCTGTTTATGGATTCCTCAGCCCTACTTGTTCCCAGGACTTTGTCTTGGCACCCAAAGTTCCTGCTGATCAAGCTAAAATGTAGTCAGGCAGAGGGCCTCTCACCAGGACAAAAGTCTTGGTATGAGGATATTTGCTGAAAACAGCAGGCAGGCATTAGACCAGATTAGCATAACCAGCTAGACCACCTTGTCAGAAAATGAAATGTAAGCAGGACTAGAGACAGGATGTTTTGAGCAGCAGCAACAATGGAGCCCCCCAGGCAATATCCTTTATTTACTCCCCCAGCCTGTGTCAATTATGCATCCCCAATACACACCCCCACCCCCAACCCTTTCTCTCTCTCTCTCTCTCTCTCTTCCACAGTTTCCTGCACTTAATTGCCCACCTTCCCAGAATATGATATCCAATAAATGTGAGACTGGCCTGGGAACTAGCCACTACATGTCCAGAGGTGCAAGCCCCTCTAGGTCTCTCTCTGTTTAGACTTTGCTTTGTCTTTCCTGTCTCTCACCACTACCAATGCACAGTTCCACAAGGCTATGGCTGCTGATATTCTCTGGGCCTGGACTTTTTTTGTGGTATGGTTTCTGATATACACATTTGATTCTGACAGCACGTTATTCAGATTTTCTATTACTTTTCCTAAGTTGTGCATTTCAAGATTTGCCTACTGAATTTAAATTGTCAAATTTAATGACATAAACATGTTTATGATTTTCCTTTTTGCCTCAGACATGGAGAGATTCACCCTTTTCATTTATTAAATTGGTCCTCTCTCTCATACATACACACATGTGCAGAATGGCATCAATTTTATTAACTTTTTCAATGAACCAGCTTTTTACTTTTTTAAATTTTCTCTATTATTTGTATCTTTTCTATTTCATTGATTCTGGCTATCTTATTTCCTTCCTTTTACTTAGAAAAAAATTTTTTTTCTCAATTTGTGAGGTAGAAATTTAATATCAAACCTTTTCTCCTTCTAACTTTTAAAGTTACAAATCTCCCTCTAAGTTTGCCTTCGTTGCACCCCATAAATTTTCACCTCGTATACACATCATCCATTAGTCAAAAATATTTTCTAATTTCCCTTGTGATTTGTCTCTTGATCAATGGGAATGTTAGAGATATATTAATTTCTAGCATTTAGACATATTATCTAGGTATTTTATTAATGTTCATTTCTAATTTTGTTATGGGCAAAGAATGTAATCTGTAATATTTTGGTCTTTTAAATTTATTTATTGATACTTGTATTATGGCTTTTCATCTGGTCTATATGGCAAATAATCTTTGTAATCCATGTAAATTTAAAGACATTCCATATTCTGTAGTTGTTGAGTATAATGCCATATAAATTGGGTCAAGGTCACAGAAATTGCTGTTTAGACTTCAAATCCCTCTGATACTATTTTTTGTGTATTTATTTGTTCTTTTAGATAATGAGAGAGGAGTTGTTTAACACTCCAACTAGGATCTCTTGTTCAGTTGTTTTACTTGTTTTGAAGTTACTAAGAGTATGAACAGCTATGAGTTCCTAACTGGATCAGCCTATGGCAAGTTAGGGCTAACTAGGCAGGCAGGGACTTCAGGCAGCTAAAGAGGCTCCTTAGATAAGGCAGCAAAAAGGATTAAGGGAATCGCTAGAGATAAGGGCAAGAATTCCAAAGAGCGTTCATCAAACAGCCCAGGACCAGGGACAGTGCATGTTCCTGGACAAGGGCAGTAAAAAGGGGAGATTTTCTGACCCCGGCTGTGAAGCAGGACGATTCCAAGCACAGTAGCAGAGTGACAGCACCGAGAACCAGCCAATCACAAAGAGACTGAGGGGCCTTAGGACACTTAAGGCAAGAAGGTCTGTATTCCCTGAGGCTGACGCCTCTTGGCTCCCTCGCCCCTCCCTGGCCTGGTTTCACCTGACAGTCCCACTGGATTTGTTTCTTTTTTCCTTAATAAACTTTTTCTTTTTCTAAACAAATCTGCCTCTTTTCTCTCGCCTGTCTGAGCATCAGTGAAGCTCCTGCTGCAGCTTCATAAGACACAGACCCATGGTGGTCTCGTAGCCGGACTCAGCGCTGCCACTGCAGCCTGGGATTGGCTCCTGGCTGGGCACTGGGCCTGAAGACCTGACAACACACATCACCGACAACTGAATCCATGAAACACCTCCAGTCCTAATGAGCATGGAAGTTACTCTGACTGGACAAGTTGTGTGGACCAGTGGTGTCAACTCTTGTCTTTCTGGGCTATCCCTCCTCTCGTGGGGCACCATCCATAGATGACTAAGTTATTTTCAGAACCTCTCAGAGAGCCTGGCACAAAGATGGAACTCAATAACTGTATGATGAATGAACATATTAAAAAGAGGGAATAAATACATACTCATGTTCAAAATCTTTCAAGGGTTCTTACCGCCCCCTCGAGGATGGAGTCCAATGTAAATGCTCTCCAGAATCCATGTCTAGCCTACACTTCCCAATTTCAACTTGGTCCGTCCTTTCTAATCTCTCAGATAACCTTAGCTCTTGTCAGAGACATGAGAAGCAGATTATGGGTCTTGAAAGGAAGGGGAAAGGATAAAGATATAGCAGTGGCTTCAGCCTCTACTTTACCTGTGGTTGTGCTGGCACTTTTCTTAAAGAGTTCTTTTTTGCTGTTTTTCCACCTGGAAGGAAACAGACTGTAAGTCTTGAAGGCTCTTCCCAAAAGGGGAATAACCCAAAGCAGTGTCCAGAAAAGATATTCTCATTCACTAAATGAAAACTCACAAAGGAAGAAATTATGGGCACAGACAATCATGATTTCCTCTAGCTAAAACTTTTATACCAGATTGTACCCTATTCCACCTGAATCTTGCAATCCTGTAGCATTTTCCCTGCAAAGATTCTGAAAGTCAGATAAAAAGATTATGATCTGGAAAAGGGCAGTGATTTTCCCCAAGATTACTCAAACCATGTGCAAAGCCAAGGCTAAAACCCAGGTTTCCTACTTGTAAGCTTGCTCTTAGCACAGTACCCTGCTATGTCCAGTTTTGTGAAAGATGAAGGCATTTATTCTAGACAACCTTTAATCCCTGTGCTCTCCCAACTGATCTACACTGAATCTGATTAAGCTCTAGTGAGAGTCTTATTATTAGAATTAAAAACGGTCTTTTACGGGGCAGGTAAAAGAGGTATGAGGACCCATTCGCAGCATGAGAAGAGATTCAGATTATAAACTCTTCCTGAGAATTTGCCATGTGGGATTACAGAAATATGTAAGTTTTTTCTCAAAATTCTGTAAGAACCATTTATGCTTTGATTTTGGGAAGAGCCATTTAGAATTATAAATACATGCTTACCAATGATAATAAAATACGGCAATAACAAAAATTACAGAAATGCTATCCAGCAAAAGCCACCAGAATTTATAGTCACCTGGTGTCTGTAAAACATAAAACAAATAACAGTTAAAGCTTACACTTGGAAGGGATTTTACACCAGGCATGGTTCCTTCATCGGCTGCCAGGGTTGGAGTTGGTGAGGAGAAGGAATACCAGATGAAGGAACCTTTGTTGATGTGGTAGTCTCTGACACTGAAATACCACTGCGCTGCCAGTCACACCTCACATATAGGCAATGAAGTGCTTCAGATGCCTCACCACCCTTGACCTTCAAGGTAGTGGTCTGAGGAAGCTCTCCAGAGAAATCACACAGCAAGATTTTTGTGGACCCAGGACTGCAGGTCAGGTTTCATAACTCCCCATGCTCTGTTTTCATGGTAGGATTTCCTGGCTGACCAGCTAAATCTCCCTGGGTAGCTTTTAGTTATGTAGGTTCCTGGCTCTCACTGTAGACTTAAAAATCAGAAGTTCTGCGTTTTTTAACAAGCTCCCCAGGTGTCAGTTAAAGCAACTACTCTGTAAAACAATTTAGGAATCATTGTTCTAAATCATCATGCTTCAAATAAGTATGTTGAAATCATAATTCCTCCTTACCTAACATGCCTCCGTCTCTATACTCCCTACATGAGTCACCCATTCCCCAGATCTCCATCTCCTAGGTCCTCCCCTGTGAGTTTCATAATTCCCAGGTTTGGTCCGCCCTTTCCACTTCTGTTGTTCCCTCCAATTCTACTGTATGCCAGTGAGGCTGGCACTTTTTATTTTTTCTTAGGTCATTCTTCACCCTGTCCTGAGGTCTTGCCTTATACTGAATAATAATGTGAATAACATTAGTGATCATTAACAATGATAACAACTGATAATTAATGAGCATTTTGAGGAACTAGGGAAGTATTCTAAGCACTTTAAGGATATTTTCACAATCACAACAGCACTACAAGGGAGGTACAATAAAAGCTCTTAAGCAACGTCCACTAAACTAAAGCTCCTAACCCCCTCTATGAAATACACTGAGGCTTTGGCCTCAGTCAGATGACCCCCAGGTGATGCGTACATCCATCAAGAATAAGTTGTTCTTGCTTCTCAAATAGTTTAAAATAGTTGTACGTGTGATAACTGTGCAGCATAATTAAATGTTGCTTAAATCTGTACAAATATGTGGGGGGGAAGGGTCATTTTATGAAAATGAAGGCAATGCTTTCAAAAACTCAAGAAAGCCATTAAAAACTCTGCAATTGAAGTAAGTATAGACAAAACACTGTAAAAGATTGGAGTAAGAAGATTGTAAAAATCTGTTTAGATTCTGATTCTCTCTCCCAAAGACTTTGAAGTTCTTGTTCTGCTTTAAAGAACAAAACTTAGAAATTTGGATGTTTAAATAAGCAAAAGAATACAGAACTCAACCAGCTGAAGTATCCTTAAAGACCCTGATTTTTGTCAAATGGTAAATGAGTATTTTAGATTAAAACAAAGTGTGTGAGATTTGCTTATGCTCGATTATTAAAATGACTACAACATTTCTCTCAAAATGCAGGCCCACAGGCAATGTGACATTGCTATTTCTCCTGATCTAGAAGTGAAGTCTGTTTCTCCCCTAACCCACTTTGAGTGAACTTCGTCATATGCTTTTTCTTTGGTCAATGGCACATTAACAAACGTTCCATTGGGAGAACCTTGAGAAATGCTTGTGTGCTGTGGCCTGAGCTCTTCTGCTACCAGAAACACACTACCACCAGGTGAACAGGCTCAAGTTGGCCTCCTTAAGGATGAATGACTGCATGAAGGGAGACCCTCCCAGTGCACTGGGTCTTACTTCCCAAATTGCTCACACATGAATGAGGCCATTCTAACCACTCCTAGAACCACTCAGCTATCACACAGAATGTGAGAAATAAATGTTTGTTTTAAGCCACTACGTTTAGGTGTGTGTGTGTGTGTGTGTGTGTGTGTGTGTTTAAGTAATAAAAACCTAATAGAATGTATGTTTTTTTTATTCCCCTTTTAACTTGTCCAGTTAACAGGGAAATGATCAGGCTAGATTGTGTTGGATAAAAGTTCTTTTGCGGGGCCCTCTCTGGTGTAAGAAGCTAAAGCCACTTCTGCATGAGTTCACTCCCTGCCCAACCCGGAGGTGATCCACATGGTGCAGCTGAGCTCTCCTGACCTACCTGCTGCTCCCCTCAGCAGTGTACTTCCTTGATCTGCCTGTTCTGCTCCCCACTCTGTCTCTGGTGAAGCCTCTCACCGCCCCTGCACCTCTGGCCTGTACCCCAGTTCTGTATACACAAATTTTTTTTTAAAAAAAAAGTTCTTTTGTATTATTGTTATCCCCAATTTATAAATAAATAAACTGTTTCTCATTTTTAAGTTCCCACAGTAACTGGAAGAGCTAGGATTTGAATCTGCATATTCTAACTCCAGAGTATGGGGACTGGAGCCTCGCTGATGGCACAAGGGGTTAAAGCACAGCACTATGAAGCTGCCTGCAGCCACTGCAGCACAAGGTCCATCCCTGGCCAGGGAGCTGACACACATGGTGGGGCAGACTTCTCCTGTCTCACCTGCCGCTCCCCTCAGCAGTCTGTTTTCTGTTAATCCTCCTGTTCTGTTCCCCATTCTGTCTCTAGTGAATCCGACCATCCCCCGCACCTCTGGTCTGTACCCCAGTGGTTGTATGCATAAAAAAAAACTTAAAAAAAAAAGATAAAACAGAGTGTGGGCTGCTTGGAAAAAGCCTTGGGATTCTGGCCCCTGAACAAGTTGACCAATGGGGTGCTTTAAAACACCCATGCCACATGAATTTATTATCAGTTCAAGTACTGTTGATCCAAATATTAAATGCAGTAACATTTTATGTTGTGAAAATTCAGTAGACTGTAATTATTAAAACAATACTAATTTCTCCCTGAAAAGCATAAAAGGACCTCAGTAAGAGAAGGGAGAATACTACATTTCCAATATCACAGAAGTCTCTGCTTTTAAGTAGCTGCCCAGGAACTACATAGTGGGTTTTGTAGGAGACAGGGTGAGGCACAGAAACTCCCATTATACCAGCCACAGGAGAACAATCTGGACAATCAGCTTACCATGAAGAAGTAAGGGTGGCTTAAGTGTCTTAGATTCTGAATGTTATCTGTGGTCACCGAATGAATACTGTAGCACCAGGCCAGTGAGTAGAGCCAAGGCTCATTGATGATGTATAAGTTGATGGTAATGTTAGCTGCTTTATAATCTCTGAAACAAAGAGAACCCAAAAATGATTTAGACTTAATCTCATTTTCATCACTTAAAAGAGGAACAGCCAGCATGCTTGTGAAAGGCCATTGCCTCCATCACCACAAACAGCTGGGTCAACTTATGATGTGACATACAGAATGGTCTCGTTTGCAATTGATAATGGAATGGATTTAACAGCTCTGCTTTTAGTACCAACAATGGGATGTTAATAAATTGGGTGTCATAGGAGAAAAGAGAGAGGTAAAGAGAGGAAAAGAGGGAGAAGGAATGAGGTGAAAGGAAATAACAAGAAAAGAAAAGAGAAGAAAAAAAGAGAAGCCTAGTTGGGGGCATTTGTCAATGTCCACGGTGCATATACCTATACCCACAGCTAATTTCAGATTACCACTGGTAAATAGGTTTGCAAGATTTTTGAATATTTTAAATAATGGACTCTAACAAGCTGGTACAAGCTAGCTCCAGCATACTATCCTCTGGCAATTACACTTACTTCCATCAGGGCACCTCCAACCTCTACTCTCTCTGCTTTACTATCAATCTTCTGTAATTGACTTGACTGCAAGCCAATTAATAGTAAAGTCTATGTCTTATTCATTTCTAAAATGAATTTGATGAAAATGAATTTGATGAACATTAACTGTTCAAATATAAAGAATTTTTATAAGTATTGAGTAGAGGCCCTCATATTCAAATTGTTAAAAGAAATAAAAATTGTCAATCAAGGATCCTATATCCAGCAAAACTGTTCTACAAAAGTAAGGAGGAAATAAAGACATCCCCAGTTAAAGCTGAGGAAGTTCATGGCCAATCGGCCTACCCTACAAGAAAAGCTCACAGGAGCCCTGCAAAGTGAAACAAAAGAACACTAGGCATTAACTCAAAGCTGTATGGAGAAATAAATATCTCAATGAAAGTAAGTACATGAGCAATTGTAAAAGCTAGTATCATTGTAACAATGGTCTATAACTGTCCTTTGCTTTCTACTTAAAGAAACTGATAGAGTAGGATGTTAAACGTAACTCTCAAGGTAACCACAAAGACGACAGGTGTAGTGAATAGACATAAAAGAAAAAGAGATACGGACTTAAATTTTTCACTATAAAAAATTAAAGAAGCCCAAAAGAAAGTAATGCAGGAAATAGGGGACAAAAATAACTATAAAGCATACAGAAATAACAGAAAATAACAAAGGGCACAAACTACATCACAAATATTTAAAGAAATGACAGTAGTAATAAAATGGCAAAGCCCTTCCTTATTAGTAATTATTTTAAACGTAAAGAAAAGTAACCTTCAGATAGACATTATTACCAGAGACAACAGATATTTCATAGTGAAAATGGAAATTCACCAACAAGCCCTAACAATTCCAAAGGTATATGTACCTAATAAGAGTGTCAAAATGTGAAGGAAAAAAACACCAACAATAGAAACAGAGCTACAGAGAAATGCACAAATAAACAACCACTGCTGCAGACAGTGACACCTCCTTTGGGTAACTGCATAAGGAGCCATTCATTTCTCTGACTAAGGAAGAAGTTGCCCCCAAAAGAAAGAAGGCAGGTGACGTAGTCTAATGTTCTTGTCAGTATGATAATCTTTAGTAAATATATTTTTTTCTTGAAGAATGTTCCTGGTTAAGTACTTATTAAATATTTTGTAAATGATGAGGCATTATGTGGATTTATGATGCATGGGGCCCTGACGAAGGTCACATAAGATATTTTCTAGTAGTGAATTTAAAGTCAATTAACATTAAGGTAGCTGAAAATTTTTCAAATTTTTAATAAAAGTAACATGCTTCAAAATAGTGTGAGTCACATGGAAATTTAAAATATCTTAAATCAGAATGATAATGAAATCAATAAATCAAAAATATTGAGTGTGATTAGGGCAATGTTTACGGGAAAATTTATAGCACTGCATGTTTATAGAAAAGAAGCTCTAAAATAAAACCTAATGAAGCTACTAAAAGAGCTAATAAACCCTAAAGTTAAGTAGAAGGAAGAAAATAACAGAGAGCAGAAATCAATGAAATGGGAAAGTAAACATACAATAGAAAAAAAATTTACAAAGTCCAAATACAATCCATAAACCTCTAGCAAGACCATCTAAAAAAACACAAGGAAAATAAAATCAATAACTAAAACTAAAAAATAGCAAGTTTTCATTATCAGGAATAAGATAGAGGCCATCTCTATATTCCTGTAATTTTGATTAAAATAATAGCATTCTTAGTCAAAATGGTAAAGTCATAAAGCCTTGTGACAGTGGTCTGATGAATTAAGAAATGAGCACTGATCAAAGAGAATATACTGGAGATATGATCATAATAAAATATTTTAGTCATGGTGGCGCAGCGGGTTAAAGCTCTGCACTAAGAAGCTTAAGCCACTTCCGCATGAATTCGATCCCCGCCTGCCCTGGAGATGATCACATGGCGTGGCAGACCTCTCCTGGCCCGCCCGCTGCTCCCCTCAGCATTGTACTTTGTCCATCTGCCTGTTCTGCTCCCCACTCTGTCCCTGGTGAAGCCTCTCACCCTCCGCATCTCTGGCCTGTACCTCAGTTCTGTATGAATAAATAAATAAATCTTAAAAAAAAATTTTTTAGTCATAAACTTTACACAAATAACTTAAGCCACAGTTGCTTAACTTCTTTAAAATTTAGTGATCCTTGAAGGAAATGCTTTGGAACAATGCCTGGTGTATGAATTTATAATGATTAGCCATGTGAGAAAAACCCTTATTCTCCCTACTAGAATACAGGTTTCCTTAAAGAGAAGGGTAATGTATCTAACTGATATGGAATACTGTCCATGTATTACTCAGCAAATATTTGTTGAGTCTAGTTCAACTGTTAACTCAGGATATGACCCTTCTGAAATCTGATATCAGTTGAAACTATGCCCATGTAACTCTGGACAAGGAATAACTAAATTTAAAGACATGGTGATGGAAAATTTGTACTCTGAAATCCTATACTGTCAACACACTAGCAAGGATGTAAAACAGTCGTACTTCAACCAAAAGAGATAAAATAAGGCAAGCAAAAAGTGAAATTTAAATCTCAGTTTGGTCCCCTACTGACCAACTGTATTAACTTTGGTGAATTATTTCACTTTACTAAACATTTCCTGTTTTGAGACAAATTTCCTCATTTGCAAAATATGAGGAAATAATTATTATTTCCCAGACACAGCATGTTAAGTATGGTAAGGGTAAAAGCAGCAAATATTTTTGGCATTGTTATTTTGCCTAGTGTTTTTTGAAGGGCATAGTATGAATTATCACATTAAATGTTTAACCATTCCATCACTTTGTTGTTATCCTTATACAAATGATAAAACTGATTATCAGAAAGTAACCTAGGTGTAGGTAGGTAGCTAGACCGTGTTGAAACAACCTGTGCCTACCAAACACAAGCACCAATACATAATAAAGGCCCAATAAATGGAAGTTACTATATTTTTTCCCAACTACTAGGCTAATTATGAGTAAAAGAGAAAGAAGTCATGTTAGAGTCACTTTCTAATCAGAGACGTATACTCAAAATAAAGCAGCAACTATACAAAGAAATATTTAGACTGAAAAAGAGAGGTAAAATACATAATTTTTCAATCTGGAAAGAAAAAAGACATATGTTCAAAAACCCATGGCCAGACAAATAGGAAAAGCAGGATCAGGAACAGAGGTACATCCATCAGCCTAGTGCAAGGCCTGAGATGCAGAAAGGTTATAGAAGGGGACTTTCAAGGGGATTCTAGAGACATACAGAACTATAGATCGCATCTATATCTCCAAGGAAGAATTTGTCTCTGAAGCATTTAGAATTACTGGAAAATACTACTTTTATATCTAAGAGAAGAAAGGCTGGGTTACTTTAAACAGTGATCAATAATTGTCAAGTTTCAAAAATTTACCGCATTATTCCCAGCACTATGAAACCTGAAAATCTGTAACTAATTATACATTTATAAATATGGTGGGTAATAATTTTAGGTTCTTCTCATGCTTTGGTAATGACAGGAGGAAATAAACAACTGACTTCTTTATGACCATATTATATACAAATAAAGTACACTAAGGATAGGAAAACATGGGTGATAATGAGCGATTGGAGCATAAGTAGAAGTGAAGACTGTGTTCCAAATGAGTCTGCACTTGGTAAGAATTTGTTAGCAGAGGGAAAGTGCAAGAGAGAGAGGGAAGGGTAAGAAGAGGGGAAATAGACGACTCTTAAAAAAAAAAAAAGCCTCATTTAGAAATCCTACGATAAAAGGGGAAGCTGCATAGCTCAGCTAGAATGCAGATTTTGTGCAAGTCAAACAACACATGCCAACAGAGGTGTGGGCAAACACTTACCTCAAACCATTAGAGAACAATCTCTTATAGTCGACATTTATTATGCTTATATTTTCTTTTGCAAGGGCTTCCACTGGGATGAACCGGCCCACCTGCTGAAAACCCGGAGCTTTGTTCCTGACATATGTCCTATCCAAACCTGGTAACCAAAAAACCTGTAAGGAGAAACAAGAGGTCCTCCAATGGATAATCCAGTGGTCTGGGTGCCAACAGTCCTGTGTGCTATGGATAGAGCCCCAGTTCAGCACTGGTTACAGTCTACAGGTAGTAGAGAAAGATTCTTGCCTTTGGTGAAAACAAGTCAACCTGGTCTAATTTTGTGTAATTAACTCATAATGGAGCTTTCACAAGGTTGCTTCAGAGCAGAATTTTCTCAGTTAACATGGACCAAGGACCCATGGTATGCTGATAGCTTCATAGTCACCAAAGTAGGTAAGGAATTGATAGATGCGAGGTGGAAATTATAAACACCCCCTGGGTAGTGATCCTAAAAGTCACCTTTGAGAAGAGTCATTTTCTGCCAACAAATAATGCTATTATGACTCATCTATTGAAACAGCTCTATTTGCAAAAGGACACACAGCATTTGCTTTATTACTCATTCTGAACATTTGAATTTTGAAATGATTAACTGCCCCCAGAGCGGCTTCTAAAAAACATGATGAACAAAACTCTGCCCTGTCCTTTCTATACTATTAATTGAAGCAAAATCCTCTGAATCTTACAGTTACCTGGCCTTTTCTAATGTCTCTCTGTTGGTGATGAGGGAGGACACATCAAATAATCATTACACACGTTCTTTTTTTTTTTTTTTTAACAGACTGCTGATATTTAATTTGGTTTGAAAGAGCAAACAACCTCAATATTTTTCTGCACTGAAAGAAATTTAACTGGGTCATTGCCACCCATAACTACATAAGGAACATTTCTACAGGGAGCAAAATTACTTAAGCATCCCAGGGGAGACGTACCAGGTAGGGCAGACTGAACTACTGTGCTCCGGGACTGCTACCCACCTCCCAAACCTGCCATAAATATTGAGTTAGACGTACCATATGTTGCTCAATTTTAGAGTCAAGGATCACCTGTACTGTTTCACGGATATACATGCCTCTGAAAGGATGTTTTGCTGGAGGGGGATTAAGATCAAATATCACACATTTTTTTTCCTTTCGTGCAAGTTCCAAAAATTCAGACAGTTTTGGAATCATCTGATTTCCAGCTTTTTCCCTGTCAGCCTCTGATAAGGGTTCCATATTGTAAAATGGCTAAAAATAAATACATTAGAGAATACATTGGCTCCTAACAAAAGCATTTTCCAGTTCTCTTGTTACATTGCTCCATACCCAACCCTACTTCCATGTTACTCTATTAACATTCAAGCAACCGGTTTCTCTGAAATACTGGTCCTGGGATAAGAGATTCCAAGGAGAGAAATGAAACAGGTATGACTTCTTCTATATCACAGAAACTACAATATTTGTACTAAAAGTCCCTCATGTTCTTGTTGTGCATTTCTTTTTGAGCTTTTTTCTATATCTCAAAGTAACACAATCCCTTTTTAGCCATACTGGCTTCCCACATTTGCTCTTATTATCTAGTTTTGTATAATGCAAAGAAAATAGGCTCTCACTTCACAAAGAATTGGATTCAATCCTAGTTCTTATATTCATTTGCCCTCCCTGCCATAATCAACTGTTTAAAGTTTTCTCAACATGCAGGCTCAAATGCTACCACCTTCAGGAAATTGTCCTTAAATATTTCTGAGCTAAAGAAATTTCAGTAACATCAAACATCAGTGGTCCACTTCTTCAGTTAGTTTTGTACACCTTAGACCTGATTCAAATCCTGGCTGGCTTCACATTCGCTTTGCTGGCTAGCCTTGATAACAAACCATTTAAATTCTCAGTTTTCACTGCCCCGATCTTTAAAATGGAGAAGGGATTACTTAGAATATTAAATGATAAAATATCTATAAGCTCTAGGAGCATGCGTGTAGACAGTGTACACTGCACATGCATTCCTTCAGTCTTTACTGCTTCTATGGGGTGAGCGCCCTCCTGGCAGAAACTGGCGGTTCTTCTTCGCAGTACAAAGCATTTCACCTTACATCTCAGCACACACACACACACACACACACACACACACACGAACTTTTATCACTTGTCAACTTTCGATGATAGATGGATTGAAATCACTGACAAAAGGCTCTCTCTCTCAGGAGAAGCAGTAGCTTCTCACATTTTCGTAAGACTCAAGTAATATCGTTCTCTACACCTTATCTTCACTCATATTCATACCCTCTTTATTTTTCCTCCTAAATAAGTCACACTTCCTCGCCTTTTTCTTAGGAAAAAAAAAATCACATTGCATGATATTTCCAGGCTAGACAAAAAGGAGGATCACAAGAGTTGAATTAAACCACGGTATACATCTGAGTTGAAAACTCGAGTGTTTCCTTAATCCTTAGAACTTTGTTTCAGAATTCAAGATTTTGTTAGATATTATGGTACCTAACCCAAAGGATTTGCTTAATTTTTAGACCTTCATCTAGGGAAAACTGTTAAAAGAACATGATGAGAAAGACAGATAGGAACAAAATAGTAAAAACAGTAAATATTAGAGTGTAAGTTAAATAGAAAGCAAGTTTTAAACAGTAATGTGGGATAGAATTAACAGCTATTGTAAACTGAGCCTCTTTTTTATATGTAGAATATGGGACTTAAAATAATAAACTGGAGTGGGACAATGCGAGTTTAGACTATCTATAACATGTGGTTGAGTATTTTCAAAAAGCTCTAGGAAGTAACAAGTTAGAAATGAAAACAACTTCCCATTCTCTAGAATGAATACCTGGTTCTACAATAAAATACAATACTAAATTACAAGAAAGGATACCGGCAGACATGTACATCACATTGGTTAAGAAATAGGACAGTTATCCCAAATTTTCCTAGTGATGCCACTTAAAGAGAAAAATGATTTGACAGGTAATTCTGAAAACTATCTGAAAATGTAAATAATACTGTTTCTTGTTGACGGTACCACTACATCTACTATTAATACCATTACCCTATGAATGATGACTCAGAGTGCTAAAATCACTGAGGTGATGGGAATCTCTAACAATCCTAAATCCTTTCCCATCTCCCAACCTATAATTACTACTTGGAGACTGTCAGAAAATACCCCATTTTTCTTTATGGCACGTTGCTGAAAATTTTAATCATCAGCAATCTATGTGCAAAAACAACCCAGAAGAAACATACCACATACAAGTTGATTTTAGGGGTCTTAGAAAATTCTACTATGTGTTTATCAAATTATAGCTGTGGACATTAGTATATTGGTATATTAGTATTAGTATATTGGTTCCAAAAATTATGATGTATTTGCCTGAGTGGGAAAAAAATGCAGAATGAGAGTCTAAACAGTAAGAGTTGAGATTGACTCTGTTAATATTGTCTAAAATCTTAATGCTGAAGTTAAGGAAGATGTAAGCCAACTTTAACAAGCTCAATATAACAAGTGTTAATTATTTCTTGCAGTAGTCCAAGCAGCATGTCTGTTTCATCTATTTTTTAAAAAATACAAACTCAAAAACTGAGATGTCAGAGAATACGGATTTTCAGTATCTCTGAGGTAGCAATATACCTCATTTTCTAGTAATGCCTAACCCAAATGTATTCTCTGTGGTCCTGTCTTTACTTCCTTTGGCAATCTAGTTAATGAAGGTTGCCAGTATTCATTTCCTCCACCAAGGGCAAATCAACAACTTTTAAAGTTCTACTTCAGGCATTTGCTGAACACCCCATTCTACTTCTATAATTTTTAAAAAAGATTTATTGTTTTAATTTATGTATTTAAGAGCTGGGCACAGGCCAGAGGTTGGGGGCGGGGGCAAGAAGGGGCTGGTGAGAGGATTCACCAGAGACAGAGGGAGAACAACAGAACAGGCAGATCTACTGAAATACACTGCTGAGGGGAGCAGCGGGCAAGACAAGAGAGGTCTGTTGTGCCATGTGGGTCACCTCCCTGGCCGGGGATTGGACTCACGCTGCAGTGGCTGCAGATAGCTTCATAGCGCTGAAGCTTAACCCCTTGCATCACCAGGGAGAACCCTACTTCTATCATCTTAAACCAAATTCTTAAGGATATGCAATAACCCATCTTGAATTTTTAAGACTGATTCTATAACTCTATTCACAAAACTTCTAAGGAGAAACTTAATTTTACAAAATAACAACGGATGATACAGGATTCAGCAAACTTATTCTGTGAAGGACCAAGTATTAGATATTTTTTTACTTCGTGAGAACAGCTTATGTTGCAACTGTTCACCTCTGCCATTTTAGTGCAAAAAAGAGTCACAGACAATTCATAAATATGGCTGTGTTCCAATAAAACATTATTATGGACACTGAAGTTTGTTTTTAATGTAGTTTTTACATCATTAAATATTATTCATTTGACTGTTTTCACCCATTTACAAATATAAAGCTATTCACAGTTCTTAGGTTGTAAAAAAGAAAAACAACAAACAGTCAGTGGACTAGATTTGGAGAGTAAACTGAAGTTGCCAATCCCTCACCCAGATCATGATATATTAAAATCAGAATCTAGTAAAACGTTACCAACAATTGATCACAAACGTACAAAATTAGGTCGTTTTATAAAAACACGGCAACTTAAATAACAGGTATTTAGTCTCGCACAGTTCAGAATCAAGATGTTGATAGAGTTTGCACCCTGAAGAGTCTTTCAGCCCTCTGCTAGCTCTGGTAGCTGCTGGCATGCCTTGACATACCTTGGTTTGAAGCCTGATCACCCCTTTCTCCTCCTCTGTGGTCTCACCTATTTTCTTCTGTGTGTGGTTTCCTCTTTGTGAGTTAGCTATTCCCCTTTGCCTCTCTCCTACAGGGACATGCGTGATTGCCTTTAGGGCCCACCTAGGTAAGCCAGGATAAGCTTCTCCTCTCCAGATCTTTAACTCAGTCACATGTTTTGCCAAATATGGTAAACTTACAGGTTCTAGAGATTAGGATGGGCATAAACAGAGGTGGGTGTTGGTCTGGTATTAATTATACAGTTTTATAATTATTACCAAAATGAAGGAAAACATCTTTGAGCACGCAGAAAATAAAAATATTCTTGGGTTATAATAGTAAATGTTTACATTACAATTCTCAGAGGAAATGTACTTAAAACTTTACCAAACTTAATTGTATCTTTTGAATAACTCCTGTAAATCTTTTAATATGTGCAAAGAAAGTCTTTTGATGTTAACCTAGGGCAAGGTTAAATGTTCTGTGAAGCTGTTTACAGTCTCTCTAAACCCTCAGTAACCAATACCTGCTTATAAAGAATATAAAGTAACAAAAATATTTCCTAGAAAACAGCCTTCAGCAAGAACTGGAACAGTTGAGGTAATTTTCAAAATTTATCTTTCTTTTTGGCTGATGTAGTAAATAAGATAATACAAGTCTTAGGCTAGAAATTAATGGTTTTAATCTCTTAATTTGAGTAATTTTGCAAAATAGAAAAGTCTTGGATTTATTTTTGACCAACTAGTATAATGGCTAACACTTTGTGTAGTACTTGATCAAAGAAAAATTGTGACTCTATTAGGGAAGGGTTTATTAAGTGCAGGACAAAAACTTGCATTGAACTCATTTTTGTGGCAGTAAATGCTACCTGCAATATTATTTGAGGTGAATTAACTTACCAGTGCCATTCATTGTACATTTTCTAATTATATTGCAATTGATTTCAGAGTGTGGTTTGTACTGTGACTTTAATTCTAATGGAGTTAGGAAAAACTATGCATTTTTAATTTGTTTGGCTTTAACTTTGTTTTAAGGATGGGAGTAACAACTCGCAAGTTTATACACTGGAGCTGAAGCCAGAAATACTCTCCAGTTGGACTGAGAAACAGCCTTGCTGTGAGGATAAAGGCCCTTTGATCACAATATACTATAAATTTATATGATGCTGGATTCAAGTTGTTAATGTTTTGTTGAATATTTTTGCAATATTCATGAGGAATATTGTTCTTGAAATTTAAAAAACTTTATTGAATTAACATTGCAATATAACATTACGTAGGTTTCAGATGTGCATCAATATAAATCAACAGCTATATATATATATTACATTATATTCACCACTAAAAATTCAGTTACAGTCTTCACCATATAGTTCCACCCCTTTTACCTGATTTAACTACCTTCTTTTCTTCTGGTAGTCACTAATTTGGTATTATATTCTAAAATTTTAATTTTTGTTTTATTTAGTCATTCATTGTGTTTCTTCAGTACCACGTGAGTGAAATTATAGTGTGTTTGCCTAACTTATTTCAGTAAGTGTAACCTTTCTAGGTCCATCCATGTTTTTGCAAATGACAGGATTTCATCCTTAAAGTGTATAGATCATGAAGGGAAATCACCTACCAATGAGCATTAGGTAGTTTCCAACCCTTGACTACTGTAAATAAAGCTGTGATTAATATGGGGGTGGCATGGTTCTCTTCAAATTAATGTTTACGTATTCTAGGTTGCATGGAATTCCAATTTTAATTTTCTGAAGTATATCCATACTGCCTTCCATAATGGTAGAACCAATTGATATATTTTCTCAAGTAGATTCATTCTTGCCTCAAAATGACACCGAACACAGCACATGCTTTATGTAACAGTCCACTTTTACTAGTCTATACATCTCTTCTGGAATTACCCATCCTTATCCCTCAGATTGAGCTAGTAGCAGTTCTGGTGTGCTCTTGAACAACTGAAAAATCAACTCTAGCTTAGCACTTATCAAAATGTATTGTAATTGCTTGCCTATGAACTCCATATGGCTAGTGTATGTTCACTAGTATATTATCTGTGGCTAGTATCTAATAGGTATTCAATAAATATTTGTTGAATGGTATTAGGCAATGGTCAAGAATAAATACTTTTCCTAGTCTGTACTGTAACTATGAGTTACTCAAAATGTCCAGGGAAAATGCTAAACATGGTAGGTTATGCTGTAAAACTTCATGACCTGCTGGGATTAAGTGACAAGATTAAGTCTGTCTTCTAGTGAATGAAGAAAGCAACAATCACTGACTAAATTACTGAGAAAGAAACGAGCTCTCCTGCCAATGCAATCATTCTTCCTTCCTCAGCTAGGATGAAATTATGTGTATGCTTGCCTGTCTTCATCTAAAGCTCTAATCTGCAGGAGCAGCACATAACCGTGCTGATGAGGGATTCAATACAGCTTTATTTAGCTAAGAAATGTGTCTTGGCCCTCCCTGGTGGCACAACGGGCTAAAGCTCAGCACTGCAAGCCAGCTGCAGTGGCCTCAGTGTGAGTTAGATCCCCACCCCCAAGGTGATCCGCATGGTGCGGCAGACCTCTCCTCACCTGCCCGCTGCTCCCCTGGGCACTGTACTTCGTTGATCTGCCTGTTCTGCTCCCCACTCTGTCTCTGGTGAATTCTCTAGCCACCCATGCACCTCTGGCCTGTAGCCCAGTTCTGTATGCATAAATAAATAAATCTTAAGGAAAAAAGAAAGAAATGTGTCTTACCGGTGACTGCAAAAACCATTTGCCTGCATTCAAAGTTGACAGGAAATTCCAAGTGAAGTTGGAAGTAGATAGGAAGGCAGCATTTGGCAAGACCTCCCTGATATTGGTTGTTCTTCTCAAGTCATAGTCATGCATGAGGAAAGGCACCCCATCGTAACTATAGGCAAGGAAGGGATCAATAGTTTGAATTCAGCCACACTGGTACACAGGGTTCACAGAACACCCCCCAAAGCCACACATTTTCCTAAGGTTCCTTATCCCCTCCTAAATGTCACAAAATACTAAGCACCAGTCCTTTACACTTTGATTCAGTAGTCTTGTCCTAGAGATAAAGCCTTTGTGACATGAAATACTCATATTAATGATGCTGGTTAAGAGGAGCTTCTCTATTCAGGGCCTCTCTAATGCTCACAGTACCAAGTACGGTAATGACCTAAGCATGAGGTAAGAAGGGTGGAGATGAGGCAAGTCCTGAGGTCCTGAGAACCACACTGAGCAGGCATCCACACATTCTTCTCACAGTGCTTGACTCATTTTCCCTCGAGGCACCCACCCCTCAGTAATTATGATGCTAGGTCCTTCACAAATAGGACAAGTAGAGAAGTTTCTATTCTATTATCTGCTATTTGCTTTGAAGAATCTTGCTTTTATGAACATTTCTTCTTTTCTCATTGTAACACCTATGAAGAGAACTCTGTAATGGTCATGAGAAAGGCATGGAGGGGCGGGGGGGAGGCAATCTGCTGCCCAGAAACAGACAACTGAACAAAATAAGGCAAATAACATTTCCAGTCAACGGACGACAGAGAGTAAAATATTATAATCTCTAAGGAAAAACAAATAAATAAAATAAACACTACAATTACCCAGGCTTCCTGCTTATAGGTGAACAATGGTTTGTGGCATGGGAAGGGGAACCTAAAGGGGACTCAGCTCTACAGTGCTGAAGGAGAGTGTGTGTGTGTGTGTGTGTGTGTGGTGTGTGTGGTGGTACATATATGTATGTATGTATATATTTTGTGTGTGGGGGGGGGGAACCACATGACACATAAGAAACTCCTCAGGGTTTATGCTCTTTACAGCCTGGGCCAGACTGGCCACCTGCCATACCTCTGGCCTTATCTCCTCCCCACCCCAGCCTCTGCTTTCCTACCTGAAGTACACGTCAGTCTCCAATCCAAAGGCTCCTTGTTCGACAGCTTTCTCGAAAGACATCATGGTATTTTCAGGCCCCAACTGTGGAAGAGAAGGACATGAGGCTTTATGCCAAGTCCCTACGAACATCCCTTTTATAACAGGGATGAGGCTGAGTGATGAAAGGATTTAGGGAGCAAACTTTGGTTCCCTTGGCTCTTTTTACAACAACTTTGCCTATATTTTCCTCTATCCATCTGATTCTAGGACTCTATTTGAAACAATTATCACTGACCAGAGTACAGAGCAATGAACTGAAAGTTAGGTGGCCTGATTTTAAGTCCATTCTCACAATTAATTCCTCCTCCTCCATCTCAAGACAGCCCATTTTCCTCACAGGGGTTCCTGTGGTTCTGAGGCCCCCTCCTCCCTCATCACACACCGTGCATGCCTGTACTCAACCATGTCCATTATTACACTAGACATACCATGGGTGCACCTCTGTGGCCAAAGATGTCTGGCTTGGGTCCCAGTTTGTCTTTCTCCTGAATGCAGGGAGAATATTTTCCAAATGGTGTGATATACAAACACAAAAGAAGGGAAAAAAAGGGCAATCCAACAGCCACTTGTATAGCTGAAAAAGTTGAAAGGAGAGGGAAATAAGAAAAAAGAAAAAGAGCAACTATCACATAACAGCCATCAGGATTGTACAAATAGAAGCATTATTATAAGGCCACATTAACTGGAACTGCAAAATTTTAAGGGGATGGACTGTACATGAAGTGGAAAGAGAAGAAAGGATTGGGACTGTTAAGGAATACGCTGTTCGGAGGGAGAGTGTGGCTGGCTCTGAGAAGCCCAGACACTTGTAAAGATCAGTCTAAATGGTCCCTGTATTTGCAGCAGTGCGGAAAAGTGAAAGGGGACATTGGGTGTCACAAATCTGCATTCAAAGCTAGAATCAAGCTAGTTGCATACTAAGGACATGTTGCTTAATATCCTCTGGGTTTTTATTTTTTACATCATTCTTCATTCTGTGCATTTTTCCATCTCAGTTATAATCCCCATGGGCCTGCCATCACCAATTCACCCATGTGCCAGCGCCATAGTCCAGTGCACTCTTTCTACCTCTGAGTTTTTAATTTCTTTATTGTATAAAATGGATTACCGGGGGCTCTCCCTGGTGGCGCAATGGGTTAAAGCACCGCATTATGAAGCTCTACCAAACCACTGCAGCACGGTTTGATCCCCGGTCAGGAAGCTGACCCACATGGCATGGCAGTCCTCTCCTGACCCACCCACTGCTCCCCTCAGCAGTGTACTTTGTGAATCTGCCTGTTCTGTTCTCCACTCTCTCTGGTGAATCCTCTCACCCACTATACCTCTGGTCTGTAACCCAGTTCTGTAAGCATAAATAATTAAATCTTTTTTAAAAAATGGGGTTATCTGGCAGCTAACATCTATCTCATAGAGTTGATATGTCAGTGTTGACTCATAATAGGTATACTCAGTGATTAGATTGTTTCTCAAACTCACACACATGTGTGCATGTGCTGATCCACAATAACTGTTATCCCTGGATATTGTCCGATACTTACTGTTTTAGACCTCTACAGGTTTTACCCATTTGTACATTTTTAAGTTACCACTTGTACTTCAGTTACTCTCAAATCTAGATGTTCAGCTCTAACCTCTCAACTTTATAAGTACATTATAGCTCTTCTTTGTTTGTCTCCTGTAATGAATAATCTGGTATCTTCTGCTTTGAACTAAAATTTAGGAAGTGAAAAAGAAAATTCATTACTGTCCCCTTCAAGTTCTTGCCCCAGGAACATTTCCTAAAATTCACTCTCCACATACACACACACACACACACACACATGCATACTAATATAAACTCCAATGGCAACACTACCAAACACTACCAATCCAGTTTTCCTCTTGCCTGTATCCTGTTACAAGCTGGGAAGCAAATACTCCTTATTTACCAAAAGAGAAAACAGAGACATAGAAGAATCTAATGGTGTCTTAGTGAGAGTGCTGAGACATAATTCTACCCTCAAAATCAATTCTATTCTCAAAATAATTCAGTATACAGCTATGATTCTTCCTTGTTTCTATGATATTAGGGCAAAGAACAGAGAGGAAATCAATGGCAGAGATACAAAACTTCTACTTCTGCTCTAAGTCCTTGGGTATGACACAGAGTCACAGGGGTCTGCTTTGAGTTACTAGGACATAACCAGAGAAGTCTGAACCTAGCATGAATTCATCAGGTGGAACTAGTCACACTGAATGCAAACTCAAAGAACTTTGACTTATCCTGTCATTCTGGTCAACTAAAATTAAAATGGCCTCTGCTGTCCCCATCCCAACCTAGTTAAGGTCTAACATACAGACATGGATTCTAGAAGGCGAAAACTTCTAGAAGAAAGCCTGTTTGGTAAGGAAACACTGTAGCAGTCTATATAGGGTTTGTGAGTTTGACATAAGGAGACCTGAGTACAAGCTAAATGAACTTCAAAGAGGAATAGTGATAGTGCCGTATGTAAGCTGTAGCCAGAGCTAAAAGGAACAGACAAGGTTCCACCTCATGACATACCTTCTCCTTCCAAACGTATCAAGTAGCCAACCATAGGCCAGGAAAGAGCAGTCATCACACATATGCTGCTAAATTGTATGAAGGGAGCAAAGACCTGGGAGAAAGTCAAAAGTCAGGCTGAATACACCTGGACAGACAGTGCTACATCCACAGGATGATGCTTACCTGAAGTGACAGCCCAACTGTCAGCCACCTTTCTCTCCAGTAAGTGCATAAAAGCCACAATAAAAACAACTCTGCCAGAATTATTAGCAAAATCAGGACCTGGGGAAACAAAGAATTTCTTGACTCTCAGGCACTAGGCTTGGGATCATAACTATCATTAGGAGTTTATACACGTCTCCCCACAGCCAGGAGCTCTTTTCTGCGTCCTTTTCCTTTACCTAACGCTCTTGCAAATCCCCAACATTGGACAGGTCTGGTCATTCACCTTCTTGTCAGCAAGTCTTTGCTGTCTAGCAAGGAAGGGCAAAAAATCACACAGCGATGCAGTCTGACACCTTCACTGATTTGTCATCCACTGTCTTAGCCAGATCCTCAACCTTGTTCGGCACCTGTCACTAGGTTTCAAAGATTACTACTCCAAATCTCCACTTCTTTTCTCTTTTAACTACTATTTTAATTGCCTTTTCAATATTTATTTTCCCCACTAGACAATAAGCTTCATGAGGTGAAGGACCGTATCTATTTATTATTAAGTAAGCATCCAACAAATATTTGTTAAACAGGTGGGAAGATACAGGGACTACAATTGAGATGGAAAAAATGTAAAAATGTAAAATAAACTGTTATAAAAAAAAAAAAAACAGGTGGGAAGACACCTGCGTGCCAGGACACTCTACATGCCATCCACAAAGAACATGGAGATCAAAAAGACCTGACTTTCCCCCTCTGAAAAGTATAGATTTTCTCTATCTATGTTACCCAATAGATCACTTTCTTGCCTCCTTTACATGATCTCTGTAGCTCGCTAAGCTCATGAATCCATAAATAAACCTTCTGCCCAAATAACTACAAGCTTTGCTGACTTCAACAGTTATTTTTACCAAACAGCTCAGGAAGAAATATTTCCAATCTTTAACAAATTATTTCAAATAATGTAAAAAGAGGGAACATTTTCTAAGTTGTTTCATGAAACCAGTAAAACTGATACCAAAACTTAAGCAAATTACAAGAAAGAAGTAGTATAGGCCAATCTCTGATAATGTACATAAGTGCAAAAGTCTTAAATAACCTACTAGCAAACCAAATGCATCATAACACAAAGGTTCAGCTGTCAAATCAGTTCACATAAATCTTAGGTGATTCTGTGACCTTAACCAACACCAAATTTTACTAGTGATTTAAAAAATACAGGCAATTATACAGTACGGATAAAACATTTTCCCTTGGAGAAAGCTGATTCTATTAAATGCAGCTATTCACAAAAGGTTCTTTCTTCTCATTTTTAATTTAATTTTAGTTTTGGACTTATAATGTGAAGAGTGTTTTGAGCAAAGCATGTGGATATACTGCTTTACAGAAGGAGTATTTCTAGTTATGGAGCTTCCTTATCTTATTAACTATACATGAACTATACAACTCCAGTCAGCCATATCTGTAAGTTCTATCTAGTTCTATCTTATTTACAACAGTCAACTCAGATATACCAGGTTATATCTCACTAGAAAGAGTCACAGATAAGAACTTTGTATAATTTTTTCAGTAATAAATATCTTTAGTGTGTTTGCCATTGTGTATGATTACAAGGAGTTTTGCTTAAGGTGATTCATTCTTTCTGAGCATCACTAGGTAGAAGAGGAATCAATTATAGGCCTGTTGCTAACCCTTTACCTCAGCATTTGCTCTGAATACACTAAAACTCAAACTCCAAGGCCTACAGAATTTCCTTTGCCAGTCTGATAAGCATAGCCCTTCACGGTTTGAAGGCCCAGCCTTAATGTAGTTACCTTCCAGAGGGATGCCAACTCTTCTTATGCCCCATCTTTATCATCTCTCACGGCCTAAACTTATATCTAGAATTAGATCCAAGAAGACCTCAAGAGATAAAGACTTTGCTAATTAATATTAACAACAACAACAACAAATAAACCCTGAAGACTATGACAGGGGAGGGAGAGATGAACTCTAAGGGTACCAGACAAAAAGAATGTAATTTTAGAAAATGTTAAATTTATTGATATTAGCACACCTAACAGATTCTGGATTCTATATACCAGATTCCAGAAATTAGCAGCTCAGATAGTTCCAGTGGTTTGGTTATCTCCATAGTGGCCTATACTTACTGATATTGGAATGTCAGCAATTTTTTGATGAAGAAGAAAAAGAATTCAGATTTATTGAGAAAAATTTACTGGGATGTTATCACCACTGATCAGCTAATCTATTCCTTATTTTGTTCTCTGGGAGTTCAGACAACAGTGAAAACTAGACTGGTGAAGAAAACACCAGCATCCTTTAAAAGCGCTATGGAAGCTGGGCCCTCCCTGGTGGTGCAACGGGTTAGAACACAGCACTGCAAGCTAGCTGCAACCACTTCAGTGTGAGTTCTATCCCTTCTCCAGAGGAGATCCACATGGTGCAGCTGACCTCTCCTGACCCGCCTCCTCAGCAGTGTACTTTGTCAATCTGCTTGCTCTGCTCCCCACCCTGTCTCTGGTGAATCCTCTCACCACCCCAGCACCTCTGGCCTGTACCCCAATTCTGTATGCATCAATAAATAGATCTTTTTTTAAAAGCACTATAGAAGCTATTCTCTATGCCTACACAAAGGTAAGAACTGCTGGCACTGAAACTACCTAACAAATTTCAAAGGCAATAATGAGATTTGCCATGGCAGAGGCCACGTAGAAGCATGTACTGCCAAAAGCAAGATAAGCATGGTTGACATACTAGACACAAGCCTGGAATGGCACTCAGCATGGTTTGATGTATAGGGATTCTTGGTAGCAACTAACTGACCATGCTTTCCCAAATACAAAACAGATGGTATTCTGAATAAAAGTTACTTGCTCATCTTTCAACCTCTATTTTTTCTCTGTAAGATCTTGTGACTTCAATTTCCATCTATTCCAGTAATGCTTACATTTGTATTTCTAGTTCATACCCCTCACTTGAGTAATTTAAAGGGGACCATTAAGGGAGTCTGACTCACTCCTGGATTTGATGAAACATTAGGAATGGTTATCAAAACCATTCCTGAAAATAATCTATAAAGAAAAGCAAGAGGTTGTGGCTAGAAATCTTCCTCCCACTGCTCGAGCTCATGGAAAACCAAAATGAGGGAGGCCATGCTGGAAATGAGCTTCCTATCCAGATGGTGGTGGTAAAGATGCTTCCTTTCTTTAGAGAAGTGCTGGTATCATTTTGTTCCCAAGGGCTCCAAACTAAAGCAGCAGGATCAAGAGAACCTCACAGAGAAATCTGAGGGGTACAGAAAAATCAGCACTAACCCTATTAAGAAAATGTTAGTCAAGGTTGTCAGCAGAAGGATCTCTAAAAATACTCATAGAAAAAAGGCCTCTGAGGGAAAGAGCCAGTACTGGGCGTTTACCTAGTTCCTTTGACAGGGACCCAGCTACACCTATAGCGCCCCCTGGTGGAGCCTGCTCTTTTTCACTTTCCTCTTCCCGAGGTCCTGCCCTGGTAGGAGAGGGTAAAGGAGCATCATCCTCTCTCCACCACTGTTAGGTTTCCAGACCTATGTCAGGCCCAAAGAGAGGAGGAGGGGAGTTGTTACAAGGAGTATAGTTATTATGATAGAAGGAAATGAAACTTTTAATCACTGAAATGAGAATATTCTTGACTATAAAGAAACTGGGAAAGTAAAGAAGCTTGACTAAGATTTTACTGGGATAAGAACAGTCACAGAATGAGTTTAAACATGCTAAAACCAGGAATGTGAAAAAAATTAAGTTTGGGTCCAGGTCAATAATATGTTAGAAATTCAATGAGTTCAGTGAAAAGAGTGTCCGTAGATCTCTTCTTGCCAAGCGAATGGATGCTCGAGAGAAAGGACAGCTCTGTACCAAACACCGACTGCCTGGTCTCAAGCCTCCTGAGGATTCAGAAGTCCTACCTTATGAAACCAGTGCAGATGTAGTTCATACCCTTCCCAAATCAACAAAAATCCAAATAGCTGGAAAAGCAAAGAAGAAAAAGGACAAGGTTAGTTTGAAATCACCAAGTTGCTATCCAAAGCACTGTTCTGTAGTTCAAAATTCCTTTCACATATTGATACTATATTCACTCGTTGCCAATGCTGTACTTTTCAGTACTGAGAATGTACCATGTCAGTTCTCTGCCTAAAAAGTTCTCTCTCCCCTTGACACTGACCCTTCATAGCCAGTTAAAGTGTTACCTGCTATTTGTAAATTTCACCAGCACTCCCAGGGAATTTATTATTAACTCCTCTGGAATGTCATAGCAATCATTATACTAATATCCTTCCTGAATTCCTGCAATTTTTGCCCCTGTGATGGACTTTATTCCTAATATTATTTAGACCAATTTGTGAGAGAAGAGAGGTCAAGGGTCACCCCTCCCAAGGTCACTGCCTAGTCCTAATGGAATTAACCCCAATTGCTTAGGGAAACCAGTAGTTATCACTGTTAATGACTGTTGTTAACACTGGCATGTGCTCAATAAATCTTAATCGGACTTTAAATTTAGTCTGTCACCAGGTCAATGTGGAGTGGAGTTCTCAAATGCTCAGGATATTAATGAGAGCTTGACTTTACAAGGCACTTACTTTTTTTAAATCAAAATAACTGTATAATTTCAGTTGCTCTTTACCCACCCCTATAAAAAAACAACTTATTAAATATTGTTGTTATTCTCATTTGTGAGAAAAGAAAGGGAATTCCAAGAGAGTCATATAATTTGACCAAGATTACAAGATTATATAAAAATAGAGCTGGCAATAGAACCCAAGGCTCCCTCTTTGTTCACAGTTATTGCCAATATATGTATCAAAAAGAAAGTTAGGGTACAGCAGAAAGTTTATTAAATTATATTGCCTTGCCGGACATGAGAATTCACTGGAAGCTAACGACACCATTTTATATTCGTTGTATATGAAAAGCATACAATTCAATGTCTGAGTTTGGCCCAAAGCACATCTTTTATCTGTACTTTCTCCATTAAAAGGGAAAGTTGCTAATTGATCTTTCTGCCTATTATCATGTTTTACCACAACTTCCAAAATGATTTTCCTAAAAGAGATTCTGGTTTATGCCAAATTTATGCCAAAAAATCTGTAGTAAGCCTATCGTTTTAGCCTTATCTCCCATTGTTCTTCATTATGCCTGTATGCTAAAAGAATTTATATTGCCAGCCTACCCAAACCCCACAGTCTTTCTGACTCTGTCATATTGTTCCTGCAGCCTGGAATATTCTTCCCTACTCCCATATACATATGTCCAAACCCAATATCCCTTCATGATCCCACTCCAGTTCCACCTCTTCCAAGAAGCCTTAATTAATCCTCTTTGGTAGAAGGCACCTCTTCCTTCTCAGAACCCATGAAGAACTTCATTCAGGTATCTCTAAAGACTATTAAAATGTTCTTTATGTGTTATTTACTCTTGTCTATGACTTAGTTGCCCTACCAGATTCTAACCTCATTGACCTCAGGGATTTTTGTGACCAAATTTCATGTTTATTTTATGAAGTGCCCTGCATGAAACAGAAACTTTTGTTTCTGTTTATTGATCTCTATGTACTCAGCACTTATCATTCATACAATGATTAATAGCTTTTGTTGGAAGGGAAAAAAATCGTGTAAATGACAATTTATTTAAGGGATGGGATCTTCTTTTTCAGACAGGAAAACAGTGGGGATAAGGAATCATGAGAACAAAGATATAATGCCCAGTATAAAAGTGGGTCCTAAAAAACTCTGATTACTTAAAAAGTTATCCTCCCATAAGCTTTTACTTTACACGGTTTTCTCTTGCCTGCCTACATTTCTCATACTACACAACACTACAGTGTCAGGCAACAGAGGAAGAGTCACTGCTGCAAAAGCCTTTTGCTAAAAAAAATAAATAAAAAATAAATTATCATTTGTACCTGCACTAAGGGATTAGCATTTGTACTATAACAGATCTAACAGCAGCTAATTTTTAAGATTCTTAGGAGATGGGATATGAAAAGAGGTAGTTCACAGGGAAAAGGCACTGCTAAGGTGAAGTTAGGGGACCTAAAATGGCAATTCTAGGTGGATTCGAGAACAAACTATGAAAGGGGACTGGAAGGAAGATGGCCTACCCTTCCTTCAAAGGGTGAAAGTGGTAAGAGAGCCCTCAAATAGCACAAGCCCCTTTTCATTCATCTATATCTCATGCCTAAAATTCAAATAGCAGGTGTAAACTCCAAATTCTAAGACAAGAGTGACTGAAGGTTTTGATAGCTTCCAGCCCAGACTGAGTCCCACAACACAGACAGCAGGACTTCTCGAGGCTGCCCAAGAAGAAAGTGGGAGAAATGGAAAACATTACTCACCAACAGTAATAAAGAATAGGCAGCCAGGATCCCAAAGATACTCAGGAGAACGATAGACCAGAAGAACCATACTCCTGTACCTAGATAAACGACCCTGCAAAAATGTGTTTCAAGTCTTAAAATACAGCAGAAACCAGCAACATCTGTGTCTGGGAGAAGACTGGACTAGATGAGGCATAAAAAAATGGAGGGAGACAGGAAAAGAGGCAATGTGGGAACAAGTATGTTGGGGACATTTAGTTGAGGATCTTTAAGGCAATTGGGTATGTTAATGGGAGGTGTGTACATGGTATAATGCTTCAACATTGTTTAGAATATATACTCAAAAGCTATGCTCCCTTTAAAAAATAAGTAATACTGGGGCCCTCCCTGGTGGCGCAGCGGGTTAATGCACTGCAAAAGAAGCTTAAGCCACTTCCACATGAGTTCAATCCCCGCCTGCCCTGGAGGGCGTGGCAGACCTCTCCTGACCCGCCCGCTGCTCCCCTCAGCAGTGTACTTCGTCTATCTGCCTGTTCTGCTCCCCACTCTGTCCCTGGTGAACTCTCACCCTCCGCATCTCTGGCCTGTACCCCAGTTCTGTATGAATAAATAAATAAATCTTTAAAAAAAAGTAATATAGAAATTATGGGAAGCCAAGAGAGAAAAACTCATCCATAAATTTATCACCTTAATAAAACTAATAATTTCCATTTTAGCAGATTTTCCATATGCATGCATTTTTTGTTACATAACTACAAACATAGCCACCATGTTAATTGCACAACATAAATAAATAAATATATCTAAGATGTTCTAAGAAAAAAAGGGAGGACTGAAATCCATGTTACAAGAACAGACTGTTTTAACAAAAGGATAGTGATTATCAATGAAATTGAGATCTTCGGGTGGGGAAACTATAAAAAATGGACTTAATAACAGTCTTAGATGCAAAGTAGAGTTTAACCGAGTAGTGATAATGGCTTTGCTTCCAAGTTTGCCACTTAATGGTGCATCTATCTTTGTCCAGTCATTTCTGTGACATTTGATTTTTCCTACTTCCAACTAAAAATGTCTTCTTTTGTATATTCAATCATATGTAGAGATTATTAGTACAATTCAATTCAAAACTCACCAAGCTCAAATAAATTTCCACCCACCTGCTATAAACTACAAAGGAAAAACTGTTTTTCATCTCTCCCTCTTTTACTTCTTCCTGTCCCATTAATCTTATCTAGTATTTTTGGAGTTTCTGCAGTTGTAATACCAAAGGATTCCATAACCAGACTATTGGTGCCCAAGTCCCCTCCCAACTTCTTGTGATAGGCAAGATGATGGTATGATTTGTATCCCATAAACCCTGATATGCTGGGATGGCAGGTGAGGTATAAGATGGTGTTTGTGACATTTTGGAAGATTAAGTTCTCTGTCTTAGCCCCTGACCACAGAGAATTTGCCTTCTTATTTTAATGTAGTTAATATATTAACCAGTCTATATTTAAGAATGAATCTGAGTCACTGTGGGCAGAAATGCCTTATTATGTTAGATCATTAGTTTTTGTGGTGACTTTCTATGGTGACAGTGAAAAGCTTACTTGTGGTTTTAGGATCTTCTAGAACTCACATTTACATGGGTACACCTGTTTTATTACTTTTTGCTTTATTGTACTTTGGAGATATTGTGGGTTGTGACTGTTTTGTTTTACAAATTAAAGGTCTGTAGCAACCCTGTGTTGAACAAGTGCACAGCCGCTATTTTCCAGTAGCACGTGCTCACTTCACGGCTCTGTCATATTTAATTAAAGTATAGACGTTGAGTTTTTTAGATGTAGTGCTATCAGACACTTAACAGATTACAATATATTATAAACACAAACTTTATGTGCAATAGAAAACCAAAATCTCATGCAACTCACTTCATTGTGATACTCATTTTACTGTGGTGGCCTGGAAACAAACCTGCAATATCTGAGATGTGCCCAATAAATAACTTCTATTTCATAATGGAGCACTACTGTGGGGATTCTGCCTGCTCAGAGTGGGTTTATTTCAATTATGCACTCTAGACTAGATGGGGGGGAAAAACAACAGAGTAGGTTTGGGACCCCTGTGGGATGGGCCTGAGCTTAACTTCTATTGGACTACCTAACATGCAAAAGCATTACCCAGACTGATGAATTATTGTGGTGTTTCAGATCTCTAGTAATTCACATCAGCTCAAAGTCAGTGTCTCATTATCCCTCAAAAGTGTTACTTCTACCCCAATGTACAACCACCCAGGGAAAATGAAAACACAAGTTATCAGAACCTAATTAGTAAAATGGAGCTATGAGGAAATTTTATAGCAACACAGGCATACATTAAAAAAAAAAAAAAAGAGGGACCACAAATTTTAAAAATTTAAGGTTATATCTAAAAGAATATACAAAAAGAAAAACAAAGCCAAAAGCCAGTATAAGGTGGAAATAATAAAAACTAGAGCAGAAGTAAAGAAGCTAGACATAAAAAAGACAATTAAAAAGATCAACTGAAACCAAAAGTTGATTCTTTAAAAAGATTTAAAAAATAAATTAGCTAGACTTACAGAACATGAATAAAATCAGAAACAAAAGAAGTTAAAGCAGATACTAAAGAAATACAAAGACTCATGAGAGTATTATGAATATCTATATTGCAACAACTTGGACAATCTAGAAGAAACAACCTTCTATAAGAAGAAACATACAAATTTCCGAGACTGAAGGAGGAAGAACCAAAGTCTGCACAGAGTAATCATGAGAAAGGAAATTTAAAAAGCAAAAGTTTCCCCTCCAAACAAAACCCAGTACCCGATAGCTTCACTAGTGAATTCTATCAAACTTTCAAAGAAGTAACACTTCTTCTTCTTAAACTATTCCCCAAAAGTGAGAAGAGGGGAAACTCCTAAGCATTTTTTGAAGCCAACATTCTCTAGTTCCAAAAACAGACAGGATAACACAAAAGAAAGAAAACTATAAATCACTATCTCTGATGAACACATGCAAAAATGCCCAGCAAAAATACTATCAAATTAAATTCAACAATACATTTCAAGAACCATATACTACTGTCAAGTGGAATTTATTCCAGAGGCAACATAGCCGAATCAGTAAATGTGATACACCCATCAACAAAAAAGGGGGAAATATATGCTACTATTAGACAAAAAAAAAAAAAAAAAAAAAAAAGCATTCGACAAGAGTCTGTATCCATTTATGGTAAAAAAAAAAAAAAGCCCTTAACAAAGGAACGTACTTTAACATAATAAAGATCATCTAAGACAAACCCATAGCCAACCTTATACTCAGTGGTGAAAAACTCTTCCTCTAAATTCAGGAAAAAGACAAGGATATGCATTATCGCCATGACTACTCAATGTAGTGTTAGAAGTCCTACCCAGAGTAATTAGACAAGAGGGGCCTTCCCTGGTAGCACAACAGGTTAGGATTCAGCACTGTGAGCTGGCCTCGGCCACTTCAGGGCAGGTTGGATCCCTGGGGCGTTGGAGGTGGTCCATACTGCACACAAGACCTCTCTGTCTGGCTCACTATCCCTCATCAATGTACTTCGATCTGCCTGTTCTTCTCCCCAACTCCGTCTCTGGTGAATCCTCTCACCACTCCTATGCTTCTGGCCTGTACCCCAGTACTGTATGCATAAATAAATCTTTAAAAAATAAGAGGAATTTGGGCCCTCCCTGGTGGTGCAGCGGGTTAAAGCACAGCATTGAGAAGTGGAGTGGGGAATGCCACCTCCGCATGAGTTCGATTCCCGCCTGCCCCGGAGGTGGCCACATGGTGTGGCAGACCTCTCCTGACCTGCCCACTGCTCCCCTCAGCAGT